TGGTATTTTGTACTTACAGAACTTTTCACAACTCTCTGTTGTGAAAAAAAAATGAGCTTTTTACATTTATGTTCTGGGTTATGGGATTAATGTCTGTCTCTTCTGCTAAATTGCAGGCTTCAAGAGGCCAGAAGCTAGTTCTGTGTCTGTTTACAATTTGTATTCCTGGTGCCTATCATGATGCCAAACACATGATAAGTAGATAATAAACACTGGGAAAAAGAAAAAGTGAATGGTTCTGTAAAATAAAGGTCTCAGTTATATCTAAAAGGCATATCATGAGGATCAGTTGACTTAAACTGCTTTTGGATTTTAACCCAAATTCTCATGTTTTTATTTGAACTATCTCTAGGATACAAAGTGACTAAAAAAATTCCTGTTATTTAGTACAGGGAATACCCTTTGAAGTAAAAGAAATGTTTCTGGAAGACATTTTAAGAACTACTGGATACACAAACAAAGAAATGTTAAAATACAAAAAGGAAAAACAGAGAGGTAAGCTGATTATAAAACAAATATGAATAAAATTACTACTGATATTGATTTTTTGGAGTACTCCAGTCTTATACTTTGTAGGTACAAGGACACTTGAAAGTATTTCTCTCTTGCATATAATTGTGTATTATAAGAGTATTGTCCCAAATGTGCTTTTTGCATTCTGGTTTATGTCCAGAAATGATAACCTATAGAGAGAAATTGAGGGTGGATGCCAGAGTTGAGGAAGTTGAGTGTTTCTGTATCCAGAGATTCAACTGCTGTTTAAAGGGGACAGTAGAGTATGTGCTACCACATGTAGGATGTGCCATGTATCATGAGTGTGATACGCTGCAGCATATCTCTGGATGGGAGTGCTGTGAGGAGTGACAAGAGTAACATGAGTATTAACAGGCTTGTCTTGATACAAATGTCAAAGTTTTCAAATCTTGATATTGTTATGAATTGCATCTGTGCTTGGATTTAGCATTATTTGTCAATAATACGTCTCTTATCATGAGTTACACTATATCTGAGCTTTTGAATTAGAGTTAGATTCTTTTAGTTTACTTTAAACTACATTATTCATGATGGAAGATTTGACTTCAAGCTCTGATTCCTTTGTTTAGTCTATATGACAAATAGCTAAAGTTCTTTGGGTTTTGCACTTGAAAAAAAGCATTTGGCAATACCTGTTTACAGCTCAGTGCTGAATCACTAATGCGTAAATTATAGAACACCTACATCTTAAAACTTTTGAAGATGAAAATTTTATGTTATTCAGCCATAAAGAAAGAGATCCTGCCATCTGCAACAACATGGATGGACCTAGAGGGTATTGTACTAAATGAAATAAGTTAGGTGGAGAAAGACAAATATGATTTCACTTATCAGTGGAATGTAAAAAAACAAAACAAAACAAAATGAACAAAACAGCAGTAGAAGACTCAGAGACTGAGAAGGGAGTGGTGGTTACCATGGCGGAGGGGTTGAGGTGGGTGGGAGAGTAATGGGGATAAAGAGGCACAAAAATTTTCAGTTTTAATAAAAGTTGGTCATGGGCTTTGTAGTATAGCATGGAGAATATAGTCAGTGATTCTGGAACATCTTCCAATGGTGACAGATGGTAACTGCACTAGTGGGGGTCATGACTTAATAATATGGGTAACTGGCGAACCACTCTTACGAACTTGAAACCAATATAAGTTTGTATATCAACTATACCTCAATAAAAAAGGAAGAAAAGAGAAAATTGTATGTAACTTGTATCTCAAAGAACTAGCATGGTGTACACATTCAGTAAATGGTTTTCGGCAAAATGTTATATGAATGTTAGTCATTAATTTTAACAATATTTATTATATGGCTAAAATACTGTTCTTTGAACTATGGACTTACATAGAAGTAAACTTCTTACTAATAGATGAACAGATGAGGTTTTTAAGCAGTTTCATGTGTCCTTATGGTTCAGCATAACACATTCTTTTTAGTGTTCCTAATTAATGTTTTAAAAAAGTAACTTCAAAGTAAGGCCAACTTTTAAGTATTTGCAGATTCACTTAATTTTTTAAGACGAATATATTTCAAAAAGCAAAGAAGTTATCTATTTACTCTTTCTTTGATAAATAATTTAGAAGAGAAACAACAAACCACCCTTACGGAATGGTATTCAGCTCAAGAGAATACTTTCAAGCCTGAGTCTCAAAGGCGGAGAACTGTTCCAAGTGTGACTGCAGAGTATGATTTATTAGATGATGGCGGTGATACTGTCTTCAGTCAGCTGGTAAGACATCACTGGTTTCATACTGATATTTTGAGTGAAGATTGTATAGTTTAAAGAATATCTTATGAGATCATAATTTTTACTGCATTATTAAAGTGTAGTTCTCTTAGTTTATCATAGGCAACACATTTTTCGGAAAAACTTTTTTTTTAAAAAATAATGTAACATCTTTTATTGTTTTATGCTGAATTATATTGCTTGATATTTCATCATCTCAAAAGTTGAAGAACCTATAAGCTAAACAATGTAAGATAAGTTAGGAGAAAATTGAGAAAAGACTTGGTATTAGAGCAAATAGTCAATACCAGCGGTGTTTTCACTATCACCCAGTTGTGTGACTTTATAAAATCAGTTACCCACTGTAGACCTCAGTTTCTTCTTCTTTTCTTTTTATTTTGCTACAAAACTTTTTACACTGAAATGTTTCGTCGAAGCCTTGCTTGCTCATTCTTTGCTCTTCACCCCCATCCCCAGGTGGAGCCACTGCTACCGTGGTTTTCATGGAGTCTTTGAAAACCGGAACTAGATGATTTCCTAGGTCCTTTCTGATCTTTAATTCTGGTTTAGAATTCTTAAAAAGGCATTGGTGATTAGTGTGATGCAGGGACTTTGCATTTTTTGAAACAGAATTTTAAACTGTTTTGAGCATGAGAAGGTACACAAGGCAGATAAGCTTTCAGTCTTCTAAACTGTTGACAGTTCCAAAGCATCTAAGTGAACTATGCATGAGTTTTTCAAAAGTACTCTTAAAGAATGTTTACAAATTGCTATTTAGTATTTGGAACATCCATTTGGTTCAGTGAACAGTATTTTGATTATTAAATTAGTGGCTCTTAAAAGCCTGGTTGCACATTAGTATCACCTAAGGAACTTTTACAGCTCTATGGAATCTAGCATCCATCACCAGAAATTCCAGTGTACTTGCTCTGGAGGGGAACCTGGCATCAGTGTTGAAAAGCTCCAGGTGATGGTCCCTGTGATGTGCAGTTGGAAGAGAGAACCATGGATGTGCAGGCGTGTTTAGTAACATTGATTAGGAGCGCTTTTAGTGAGTATTTTGACTGGATCATACTCCTTTGTTGACAAGTCCATTCCCAGATAAAAGATGAGTGTAAGAACAAGATGTAGTATTGTAAGTGATAATGTTTGTGATGAGATGAGAAACATTTATGTCAAAGCTACGCTGTAGTACATGGTTAGTAGTTCTTGTGGCCATTATGGCCATCTCACCTTCCTCACAAATAAAGGTTAAGCTGGTAGGTGATTTATAATCTTTGCTTTTTATTTGAAGACAGAAAAAGATGTGAACTGCCTTGAACCATGGTTAATAAAGGAAATGGATGCTTGTCTTTCTGACATATGGCTACATAAAGATGTTGATGCCTTTGCTCAGGTCTTTCACCTTATTTTAACTGAAAATGTTAGTGGTAAGTCTAATTTAAAATTAAAAATTACTCTTGCAGTTATTTACAGAACTTTCATTAAATGTATGTACTACGTTTTTGTTCACAACCAGTAATGAGTGTGTTCTTTTGGAGTACTTATCTAGAATGCAAAAATCAGGATATTTTATTAGCATAGTAGAATAAATAAAATGTTGAATCAGGGATTCTTCTTTTTTGGTGGTCAAATGATCCTTTATTGAAAAATTTTCCTCTGTAGTACTTAACTAGCTGAGCATTCCACTATACCACTGTTGATGTCAAGAGGGTGACAGCCATCAACATTGCAGACCACAGACTGGGTAGTTCCCAAGATCTTTTTAATGGTTCCAGAAAGTCCTCTAGCTAAAGATCAGTGCTGCATCTGTCAGGCAATGTTTACAATCTCATCAAAAGTGATATTTCTGCTGTGCTTAATGTTTTTCTGCTTCTTTCTGTCTCTTGGCGGTTCCTTGAGGGCTTTGATGATCAGGGCAGAGGCAGAAACCACCTTAGTCTAAGCTTATCTTTTCTGAATGGTCAGTTTCACTGCAATACTCAGACCTTTCCAATCACTGGTTGCCCTGGTGATGTCATCACCAGCCTTTTTGTGAGACATACCCAGGGGGCCAATCTTGGGGACCAGGGCAGATGTGGCACCAACTTCCCCAGTGGTGCATCTAAGGTTGAATTGGATCTCATCGGGGTTGAATTTAGGCAGCATGGCGGAGGTGGCTGGTGTCAGATGAACGCGGATCATCCAAAGAAAGGATGACCGAAGAAAGTTGCACTTTGGCCTCCTCTGAGCCAAAAGCTGAAAGTTAAATCAGGAATTCTTAACCAGAATAGTTTTATGGAGTCTGTGAATATATGACAGTTATGTGCAGATCGTTTTTATGTGTATGTATTCACATTAACGTATTCCCCTGCCACACTCCCAAAGGAGTAACTTGGTTTTATGATTTCAAAAAAGGAAAAAAAAGGTTAGTAACTTTGCTCTAGATTTTTCATTTAGTGATTGGAGAATTTTGGCATGTCTTTGGTTATATAAGCTCAAGTTTGATTCACATGTACATGCTTTATGTCATATATGTTTTCACTGATGAGTTATCCTGATTCTGTGAGTTGATTATAGTGGATATTGGCCCCAAGAGGTGAGTTTGAGAACCCTGAAGGCTTCTGGCAAAAGGAAGAATGAAAGTGAGAAGGTCAATACTGGAAAAGATTTAGATGTCAAGTACTTTATCCCTTTACCTGAACTTCTTAGCATTATTATTATGATAATTATTATTGATCATGCCCTTCTTAATACATGTTCTTCAATTATGATAGTTGATTTATTTTCTTTTCTTGCTGGCTGTAACTTCTTCTTTTTCTTGGCAAGATTTTCCTCTTTTTCTTGACCTCTACATATGGAGAGTCCTGGGCCTCAATCCTTAGATTTTCCTTTGATTTACACTTACTCATTCTATGGATCTCATCTAGTCAAAGCTTTAAATATTTATTTAGAATGACTCCTAATTTTACTTCTCCAGTCCTGACTTCCCCCCGACCTCAGTACACCTAACCACTTGACAACTCCAGTTAGATGTCTGTTAGGGGAATAAAACTGGACATGTCCCAAACACCTTTTGATTCCTTCCTCACCTACCTCTCTCTAGCCTGCTCTTTCCTTAGTTTCCTTAGTCATCATAATCAGTTGTAGACATCTTAAAAAAATCCAAGTACTTGGCCATCCCAGACTTACTGAATCTGAATCTAAAATACTGCCATTCACCTGCTAAGGTCATACTCGACTTTGCTCTCACACCCCACTTATAGTCCATTAGCAAAACCTGTTAGCTTTACCTTCTAAATAAATCTTGAAGCTGACCCCATGTCACTTCTATACTGCTGCCATCCTAGTCCAAGCCAACATTTCTCTCCTGGACTAGTCAGTAGCCTGCTAACTCTTCTCTAGAGAAGATCAGATAGATCCTTTCAAAAAGGAACTTGGACCATGCTTCTTCCCTGCTCTCCAGTCTTCCATGACTTTCACTTACACCTTGAATAAGAATCAAAGTCCTTTTCCTTATTTGGTCTCTGACTGCCTTCTTGGTGTTATTTTCTGCTAGTCTTTCCTTCTTCACTGTGCTTTAGCCACTCTTACCTGCTTGCTGCTCTTTATATATGCTGGCTCATTCCTACCTTTGGGTCTTTGCTTTTGTTGTTTCCTGTGCCTGGAATGTTGATATGGCCACCATATGGCCACTGCCTACTTTAGGGAGATCTCAGCTGTCACCTTCTCTGAGAGGCCTTTTCTGATCACTTCACTCAAATGGCACCTTTCTGCCACTATTTCTCCTTACCCTGCTCTATTATTCATTATTGTACCTTTATTACCTGACATATATTTTTTATTTTTTTACTATCTGAGAGTGACTTAACTGAGTGGTTCTGTCTTCTAGTCAGTCAGGAAGTAGTGCTTAAGCTGTTGTCAGGGGCTGTGGTTGTCTCAAGTTTACTGGAGCTGGATGATCTGCATCTGAGAAAGCTCACTCACATGGCTGTTGGCAAAAGGCCTGAGCAGAAGGTTTCAGTTCCTTGCCATCTGGACCTCTTCATAGGGCTGCCTTTTTCCCAGTATGTGGCAGCTGGTTTCTCCCAAGTGAATGAATGATTCAAAAGAGAGGGAGAAAAAGCAAGCTGGAAGCTTTTATGACCTAATCTATAAAATTATACATTATTACTTTCATTCTTTTCTCTTCATTGGACTGAGGCATTTAGTCCCTTAGTCAAGGAGGAGGGAACTAAGCTCCACCTCTTGAAAAGAGTATGAAAGAATTTTTGGATGTTTTAAAACACCCACACTTATTCATACCCCTCTGCTCAAAATACATACATTTTAGTTCTGTTCTCCAAGGCTATCAATGAAATATTCTGTTGAAATAGTAATTCTCGTATACTAAGTATAGATCATGATCTTTGTAGACCTCCTTAAAAATGCATGTGCCTGCCTATCCCAGACCTGCTTAATCTGAATCTAGGAGTAAGTCATGGATATCTGTACAAGGCAGATGACATTTAGGGAGATTATTCAAGGGTTCTGCAAGTTAGTAGCTTTCCTTTTCTGTTTTAATTATCTTGATGAGTTTAAGACAGCTTAACAACTATCTTTCCCTTCTCCTACCTTCCAACTGATAGTCCCTATTCTATCCTATTTATACTGAGGGCGTATCAGTAATGGATTTCCTTGGATGATCTGAGTTAAGGGTTATGCGATGCTGTCATCATGTAGTTAGGTGGAAGAGCAAGTTCCAGGTTCACTTCCCTGAAAAGAAAAATTTAAATGATCTAAGATCATTTGGAAATTTAACATATGTTCATCTTTTCCTTCTTTTAGTTGATTACAGACATAGTGAAACCAGTGCAACAGCTCTGATGGTTGCTGCAGGACGAGGTTTTTCAAGTCAAGTAGAGCAGTTAATTAGTATGGGAGCCAATGTCCACAGTAAAGCATCAAATGGCTGGTAATTTTAAACTACGTCCACTCTTGGCATACCTTTGTATAGCTATTGCATACATCTTTTGTGATTTCTTGTATTTATCTTTATATTAAAAGCTATTTTTTAATAATTGCTGGTATAGCTGTATATTAATGGGTGAATTAATAATTCTGAGTGACTAGTTTTATAATTTTGAGAACATTATTTCTTTGTCTTAATTTAATATCTTTGAATTTTGGCAGGATGGCTTTAGATTGGGCTAAACACTTTGGGCAGACTGAAGTTGTGGATCTTTTGGAATCTTACAGGTAAAATTTTATACTATGTTTAATTAATCCTAACTCCTTTAAAAAGCTTAGCCAGATAAATCATAGAATGTGACAAATATGGGCTGTGTATAGTCTCTTATCCAGATTTTTATTTTATTTTTTTTTTGTAAACCTAGGGAATTTTTCTGATTTCTTTGTAGGTCACTAAGAAGATCCACTATGTTATTGTATTTATCTTATTTTTTATTTTATTTTGTAAAAGCAGAAGAGGGATTTTCCAGTTAAGCTGGTAGATATTACACATGTATTTATCTCTGCATTTTCCCAAATCCTCACTAAAATGGTAAGGAAGGAAAATAAAATATGTAAACTAACAAAGTCAAAGAGAATAGAAGGGGACATGGCAGCTGATGGAAGATGTTAGTAAGTTTTTGGATAATAGATGGCTAATGGATCAGTGGTGTTTGATCTAGCAGAGCTAAGAAAACTGAAACCTGAAGTGCCTACAGAGGGAAATGCCAGTAGAGAAATAAACTCAGTTTAGCTTTGGAACAACTTAGAGGTTCATTCAACAATTTTGAAAGAAGCAATGAAAGAAAGTGCTAAAAAAAAACGATAGAAATAGTTGAACTTCTCTATAAGGAACATTCAGAATTCCGGATTCCCTTTTTCCCCATCATCAGATGATGTCCTTTCTCCACCTTGGCAGGAAGTGGGAGGTTCATTTAATTAATTGATTAAGCCATGGAGGCTTTGGACTTGGGGTTAGCAGGCACTAAACCTAGAGTGGGAGGCAGGTATCAGACAGAAAAGGGGTTTAAGTGGAAGTCTGCTTAAAGGCTGAAAGTAGAGATACCATCCATTCCCTTCCCCTATAATCCCTGTTACCTTTCTCTGAAGCTTATGTTCTTTGGCAGAAAACTTAAGAATTCTTTCCTGGTAAAATAGACCAAGCCTAGAGAAAAAGAATTAGAATTATATGAGGTTTGAGATTCCTTAAATGAAATGACCATCTTTAGATAGCTTAACAATCCCTGCCTGTGCACATGGAAATCTTTTTGTGCATTACTCTTTAAAAATGAACAAATTGCCAAGTTGATCAGCAGGCACTTGAGGGAAAAAAGTATCCAAAAATCCAACAAATAGTAATAGCAACAAAGCCCGAACTTGGGTGAAACTGAGCATTGGTGACTAGAAGGAAGCATCAAAAGCAGTAATAGATGATATCCATGAAACAGAAACAGTATGCTATCAAAAAGGAACAGAACACACAAATTTGTTCAAATTTCGCCTTCACGAACTTACCCAAACTTACTCTATTATTGCAGCTCATCTACCTGTGCTAGTGATCCTTCTTTACCTGTTCTACTTTTTTTTGTCCATAGGACCTGCCACCTTCTGATAAACTATATAATTGGTTATTTACTATATTCATTGGTTTATTATTTGTCTCTTGTCTCCACTAGAATTCATTAAGCTCCTTGTCTCCTTTGTTCAAGGACAGTGCCCAAATACAGTAGATGTTCAGTGAATGTTTGTTGAAAGAGTAAACAAGAAAGACTTCTTATAAATTAAAAACATGATAGCAGAGAAAAAATTCAGAATGGTTGCAAGATGAAGTTGAGAAACTCACTAAGTAAGAAAAAAGAAGAGATGAAAAACTGTAGAAAAAAGATAGGAAAATTCATTTCTTATAATATCCTTTATCAGGAAGCTGTTAGAGAACGTGGTCCACAAAACTGAGGAAGTAAAACAGAGAAAACCATAGTAGCTCCTGCAGAGGAAAGAGAGGAAAGAAATGCTCCATGTGCTGATGCAGGAGTGTTACTGTGACAGCTAGCTGCCCAGTAGGCCTGGTCTCATGGAAGGATGATGGAGAGCTCCAGAAGGGAGGCCCTTGAGGGGAAAGAAAGATTACCTGATGGCAGTAAATACCAAAAGAAATGGCTAAGAGAGAGTTGAAAAAGATCCTTGGCAGTGTGACTAGGAGTGGAGAAAGGTTTTTGTTTTAACTACAAAACCATTTGTTTAAACACTGTGTAAATACATTACTTTGATTAAAAAAAAAAAAAGAATCAGAAGGGTGAAACTTCCAACATCCTATGAAACTAATCCTTCTTTTAGATAATTAAAGATTTTAGATAGTTTTAGGTTATATATTTAGATTATATAGATTTTAGGCTAGATATTTAAAGGAAAGAAAAAAGATATTTGAAAGAAAAAGCTATTTAACCAGGTGGAGAAAGACAAGTTCCAAATGACTCTACTTATTTGTGGAGTATAAAAACAAAACAAAACAAAACTGAAGGAACAAATGGCAGCAGACCCATAGTCTCCCGAGAAGGGACTAGTGGTTACCAAATAGAAGTGGGTGGGGAGGGAGGGAAAAGGGGATTAAGGGTAATTCACAATCACAATGTATGTAAATGCATATTGTGGGGAAGGCAGTACAGCACGGAGAAGACAAGGAATGACTTTAGCATCTTACTATGCTGATAGACAGGGACTGCAATGGGGTAGGGGGTGAGGGCTTGATAGTATGGGTGAATGTTGAAACCACAATGTTGTTCAAGTACAACCTTCATAAGATTGTGTATCAATGATACTTTAATAAAAAAATCAAAAGAGGAAGGAAAATTGCAAGTACACAGTACTCATTAGAGATTAGGTACATCTCGCAGACCTATAACTAATTTAGTGCTCAGAGAGGACTTGCCTCCAGCGTTGATAATGTGCTATTCTCCAAGAAAGAGCGACACCTGCTGCAACCTAACTCTTCTGCGGCTGACCTGGAAAACCAGAAGGCTTCAAACTTGTCATTTTAGTCAGGTGCAAGAAGTTTTCACTAAACTAAAAATTAAAAATAGCTACACACGTCTCCTTGGAAAAAGATTATGATTTCTTCCATTTAAAAATAATTTCTATTTTTCATATTCAAATGTAATGCATATCAACTGTAGAAAAAGAAGAAAATAAAGATTGTTCAATATCACTAAAAAAAAAATTTATTTAAAGAAAATATATTTTATAATAATAATTTCTATTTTCAACTAATGAGAGTTTCCCAAAAGAAAAGGATGGAGTCCGAAGTTAAAATATATTTAAAATACCTATTATTCAAAAACACAAAATGTTTTATTTGACTTGGGTTTTCATATTCTATAGATACAGTGTTGGGCATTAGATGAAGTAAATGTTTGAAGTATAAAATCAGTTTTGTCATTTTAATTTCACTAAGTGATAATGTAGGTGACAGAGTCTCAAAGTTTTTGGCAAATCCAAAAACTAATTCTGTTACTGTGGATTTTGTTGTCATTTCAATAATAGCACCCAGAACTTGAAATCATTTTAGTGTCAACACTTTGAATGTTCCAGACATTCTTACAGTGTTAGGTATAGCTCACTAGATACCAGGTGATCAAGTAAAGCAGTTATCTGGAGAACATTTTAGTTATCTTAGCTAACTAGGCTTTATTTTTATTCCACAGATCATGAAATTATCAATTATGTTATTTAAAATTAAATTTATTATTGTTTGCTGGATTATTGATAATATTTAAAGTTTATAGTTTTAAACAAAGAACTAATACCCTCTTAATTTTCATGTTAAAAAATTAAGGAAACAAAAAACTTGGAATATTTTTAAATGAATGTTAAAATTTTAAATACTGTAATTATTAAATTGCATGAGTTGAATATTTCCCCTGTTGAAAGTAGTCTTATGTTATTTTTCTGCTAAGCTCTTTAAGAGACACTGGCCTGAACTGAACTTCTTAGAGATTGTACTGTAATTACTAGTGATGGCAGTAGTTTATATTTGTACGTACAGGAGGAAGAAGCAAGTCATTTATCTTCACAATGTATACTGATCCTGGCTGTTTGGGAAATAGCACAATCAACCTGATTTTAGTATAGAATTACCAAATTAACAATCATACTAAGCTGGTACCCATAGAGTTTTTTTAATGTGGACTTTTCTTCAGAGTATTATTTATTATAGTGAACAGTTAGAAACAACTCTTTAAGAAAATGTAAATGGTGACCAAAATTTTGTGTTTTAAGTTTTATTGAAATAAAATTCATATACCATATAATTCATCTATTTAATGTACAATTCAGTGTTTTTCAGTATGTTCACAGTGTTATGCAGTCAGCCCGACAATCAATTTTGAGAACATTTTTATCACCCTAAACTTGTACTTATTAGCAGTTACTCCTCATTCTGTCCAGCTCTCCCAGCCCTAGGCAATCACTAATCTACCTCCTGTTTCTATTGATTTGTCTATACCGGACATTTCATATATATGGAATCATATCATATGTTACCTTTTTGGGGGGCTTCTTTCAGTTAGCATAATGCTTTTGAGGTTCATCCATGTTATAGCATCCTATTTCTGACTTTGTAATATTCCATTCTCTGGATAGACCACAGTTTAGCTCTTCTTCAATTGATGAACATTTGGGTTGTTTCCACATTTTCACTGTTATGAATAATACTGGTGTGAACATTTGTGTACAAATATTTATGTAGATATATATTTTTTCTTATATATATATATATGGGAATGGAATATCTGGGGCATAATGGTAGCACTCTGTTTAACACTTTGAGGAACTGCCACATTGTTTTCAAAGTGGCTGTGCAATTTTATGCTCCCACTAACAATATATGAGAGTTCCAATTTCTCCACACCCTAATACTTATTATTATTATTATTATTATTATTATTTTTATTAAAGTGTCATTGATATACAATCTTATGATGATTTCAAATACACAACACAGTGGTTCAACATTCACTCATATTATCAAGCCATCACTCCCTCAAGTGCGGTCACTGTCCATCAGCATGATAAGATGTTACAGAATCATTAACTGTATTCTCTGTGCTGTACTACTGTCCCCATGATCAAACTAAATTGTGATTGTGAATTATTCTGCCCCTTAATCCCATTCTCCCTCTCCCCACACCCTCCCCAAATCCTCCCCTTTGGTAACCACAAGTCCCTTTTTAGTGTCTATGAGTCTACTGATACTT